TAGAACACACATTAAAAAAAAACTCAATGGCAAAGAACGCCACATTAAGTTACAGTTAGTTGCATTATAGCAAAATGTAAATGAAATCCAAGTTCTAACATGGATTTTACTACACCAACTAACGCTTTAAAATTCGACACTATACTAGAGCAACAGCTACGCGATACACTGCTTTACGTAAACTCTGCCTTACCTTTGTTCGCTTAAGGAAAACCTAAAGAAAACTGAAGTACCTCCGAGAGCCTCACTTGCGCTGTCTCAAAATGAGAGTAACAGTAAACAATAGGAACATTGTGTAAAAGCTCTATGAACTCTCATAAAAATAGAATAATAAACAAAAATCTATGAACCTATATTGCTCACTGAAATCAGATACAAGAGCTTTAAGAGTTCTCACTTAAAGTTAAGTGAAATCAAAGAACACCCGCAGAAAATCTACATAAATCTAACTTACAAAACTCTATACCAATCTGAGCTTCTGAGTCCAAATATGACCTTAAATTGGTCAATAAATACCTCATTTCCTTATCACACAAAAGGACTATGATTGGCGGTTGTTACCCCACATAACTAGCGAGAGGGGTGCAGACTAAGGGCGTGGCTGTTTGTAGCTGCTACTTGATTCGAGGACAAGAATAACCCAGCTGGTTAATTGAATGGTTCGTTATTCCTGTAAGATAACCAGATAACTGGCTAATTACAAGCTAGCTCCACTTACTTCGAGAGTCAATAAAAATTTAGCCACGCGCTTGAACGACTCACAGCGTTCAAAAGTAGAACTACGAAAAAACAACATAATTTTCAAAAATTTTACTTTATAGGTAAAAGAGTGGAAAAAATATATAGTACGCTTTCGTACTACATCCATCATGGAATTCTCTCATGAACAAGACCCCTGGGCTCTTGACAAGCATGCAGAAAATATGGTAAAATGATACCTGGTAGGAGAAAAAAAAAGGGGGGGCATCCATCGCTTGTCCTGCATAAAGCCCCGATATGAATATAATTAAAACTGTATGGGCTTATATGGAAACTGTTTCTTTGTAGTTAAGCACAAAGGTACACAATGGGCTATCTGTGCTCTGCCCACCACGGGTATTGAAACCCGGTTTTTAGCGTTATAAGTCAACAGATACGGTTTTATTTTTATTACGTTTCAAGCAATGCATAAAAATACTTGCAAAGATGTATAAATATGTTACGTCTTTGAAAATAACTTATTCAAAATCTACCAAAAATAAACATTTTTATCTTGTTAGTGCATATCAAACGACCTCGTTTGTGTTAATTTGTGAAAACTTTAGAAAAGTTGTCAACTTTTAACTTATTTCATCTTAATTAAATGTTATTGTTCTTCGGTTTTTACAAATTTGTTCCTTATCACATTTTTGTGACGTTTTAGATCTTCGTTAAGAAGATAAATATACAAAACTTAAATATTTATTACACTTAGGAAATATTTATAAATAATAAAAAAAATAAACGCGGTGACCCCTTTTCCGTGTTCTTTAACAGTTTCATCCGAATTCTTTCTCGTTTCTTATCGATAAATTCAACCGAACCTGATAATTCTACAGAAAATATCCACTGACCAGAACTATAGACATGCTGCTTGGGATTGGAGGAAAGTGATCGTTTACTGCCTCCATCTGGGTTTCTTAATTCACGCGCCATTTACTCTTAAATGTCCTTGTCTGCTGTAAACTACAAATACAAACTTAAAAAAAAAAAAGACAGAGGATAAAAGAATTTCAACATTCACCAGAAAAAGTGATCATTTACTGCCTCCACGTGAGTTTCTTAATTCATGCGCTACTTACTTTTCAATGTTCTTACCGGCTGCAAAATAAAAATTAAAAGTAATTAATGGAACATGAACTATTTCACATAAAGAAACTTTACAGAAAGTCGAGAGTTTAGCTCAGAAAGTAGAAAGAGGAGTTCAACTAAGACGAAAATTCTTAATTGCTTTTTCCAGTGTTTGTACAAGTTCTAATTTGTATATTTTAGTTATATATGAATTATTAACGGAAACGAGTTTGCTCTCAATATAGGTTCTAAACTTTATGATATTTCACATAACACTTATCAAAATAGTAAAAACAGCCTGCAATATAAGAAAATAATTTATTTTATATTATATGTCTGTTAATGAAAATTCAAATAAATTAAGTAAAATGTTATTGTATTAAACAGTTTCTGTTTCCCTTAAGACATATTGCAGGTCGAAAAGGAAAAAAAATGCCTCAGAATAAAGAAAAAGTAGAATTATCTTAGGAGTTGTTGATTATGAATATATATATATTTACAGAATTTTAAACTCTTACTTTAAATATGGACCTTACAGTAAAAAGAATAGTTCAGCTGCCAATTTCTAAGAAAATACACGAAGAATACATGTTTCGGAAACGTTTCTTTATTTCATTGCTTGAAAAAACCAAGTATTAGTCATGTTCATCTCTATTCTAAATAGTAGCTAACTTTGTATTTATCATATATTATTCATGGTTCTGACTATTTTCAATTGGCTCTAGCTTTGTTATATTTTCCGTACTACCTCATGAATTTTACATTTATATTACACTAAGCACGTGCAAATAATTCTTATATTATTAAAAGGCACGTGATTTTCAGCTTCCTTTTCAATACGTTATCAAACTCCTTGTTGGTGTGACTGCACACTAGTGTCGAACATAAAGAAACGAACGTTGTAAGAAACAGTTAACAATTAAATCATAACCATTGTTTCCTATAGTATTGATTTATAAGTACAATCTGCAGCATACATTCTTATATTTTTTTTAAAACCAAAAAATAAATTTGAATTATGTATGTGTGAGAAATTGGTATCAATTGTTTGTTTGCTTCAGAATTTCGAAAAAATATTGTTTGTTTGTTTTAGCGCAAAGCTACACAATAGGCTATCTGCGTTCTGTCCACCACAGGTAATCGAACAGGATTTTCGCGTTGTAAGTCCGTACATTTACAGCTGACCGACTGAAGTACTCGCAAACAAAAACTTCACGAGTGTTATGGGCATATATCCATCCATTATTTTGAACTGATAGATTAGAAAGGAAGCAACTAGTTAACATAACTCACCTCTGATCGAAAAGTAGGATTTGACTGTCACACTTACAGCAACGGACCGCGAATACTTAGGTTCAGAGTCTTGGTACGCTAACCACTAGGCTACGTTAAATACCGAACTTAGAATAATATTTATAAAATTTTAGTCTTATATCGTTTAGACGCTCAAGTGTTCGAAATAGTTGTAAAAAAAAGTGACTTGGGTGACAGTTTCGGGTGCATACATAACTATAGAGCTGATTTGTTAGAAATATTTCAATATTTCATATTAAAATAGAAAAGATAGATAACAATAAACCATACCGTTTATCAGTTTGTGAAGCGCTAACACTGAAATATTAGACAAAACTAAACTACAAATTAACAATGAAAAACGGAATTCAAAGGTCTTTATTCGTATTATGCTGACCTTATTTGCGTTATGTTGAATAACTATGCTGAGTTTCAGAAAGTTTGGATCCTACAATTCAAATCTGGGCTTGGCATGACCCTGGTGGTTAAGACGTTCGACAAGCATTCTACGGTTCGAATCCCATCACCGAACATGCTCGCTCTTTCGGCCACTGGGAAATTATAATGTGACTGTTAATATCAATATTCGATCAGAGTAGCCCAAGAATTGGCAGTGGGTGTTGCTGACTAGCTGCCTTTCCTCTAGTCTGTCACTTCTAAATCAGATAGCCCTCGACTAGCTTTGCAGGAAATTCAACATGCAATTCAAAACTCGATAATAAAAGACAATTGTTTTTAAAGCTCAAAGATTCATGATCGAACCCAGAATTTCAAGGTTATATGCTATTAAGCCTACCATTGGAACAGCAGGTGATAGTTAAATGTTTTTAAAAAGGAAAATATTATTGTATGGTATATCTTACTGATGTTCCACGAGTTTTAGAACACATTTCATAAAAAAAGGGGATATGCATACCATACAAAATGTACTGTCAGCTGTTTATAACTTAATTAAATATTGTTTTCAACATGGTAATAATTGGAAGCTTTCTCTGTTATCGGGAGTATCATAATTACGTGAAAAATATAAACATTGCGATACAAAATTTAGGACAAAGTATTTGACTTTCCCGCTTGAAAATAGAATTCTGAAGTTAATCGACTTTCTCGGCTAAACATAAAATTCTAATGAACGATATTTTGCAAATTATAATTCCTTTCATTAAAACATAATTGCTGACGCAGCAGATTTTCTTCCCCCGATCCAAAAGTCAATGTGTAGAGTTTATTATTCTCCATTATTATATTTGTTAAACTATCAAAAAACGAAATGACGCGAAACTACTGAACAAAGCAGTTCATACAGATGACATACCAATAAATCTATGTACCCGTTTGTAAATGTGCCCTTTACATTTTTAGGAATATTGTAATATCATAGTATGTATCTCTCCGCGAATGACAATGAGTCTTACTTATCCAAGTCCTACAATTATTTAACTTATCTCTGAAAAAAAACTGTGAAAAGTCACAATCAACGAAACTAAAATTACTAAACAGTCCTCCTCTATGTCAGTTTTCTGACCTTTTTAGTGCCGTACTTAATATCGGATTTAAGCTGTATTTTCATTATGAGAAGACAACATAAGTATAGTGTAAGTTTGTTGAAGCCTTTAATTCCTTTTACAGAGTTTGTGCTACTCAAGGCACTATTGAGTAGATCTCATAATGTTGAAAAATAGTAGGGGGGCGACCTCCATTATGAGTTTTCATCTTTTAAGTCTTCAACGAGCTATTGTCGTAAATACATTGTCTTCTCACAATTCTTCGTGACTTTCAGGTAAGAACTGTTAAGTGTTGATAGTATATGTTTGTAAAAATAGCATAGTAAATAATGATATCAAGTGTGTTTTAATGGTAGTGTGTGTTAAGATCATAAGGGAGTAACTTCACATCACTCTAAAAAAATACTACATTTTATTGCAAAATGTCACTCGGTACAAAACAAGAAATACAAAGTACATGATACTTCACCGTAACAAGCTAACTCAGTTAAGATCTTCCGCTTCTGAAAGTAGTGCCAAGATTCACAGACAGAACTGAAACAAAATATTGACCAAACCTTACATATAACAATACCTCTCGCCGAGTATAATAACAGTGTTACGAAAAGGTTTTATTGGCCTTCATGGTGAAACACTACTAGTTAAAATGACTAGAGTGCAGATTCTTATAAAAAATTCAGAACGAATACGAAAAATCAAAGGTTCACATTATTATAAAAAGTTGGCGAAGTAGGCCAAGCGAGCAATATTTATCATATACACGGTGTTTTCGAAATATACTTAGTCTATACATTAAAAGGTGAAAGTAGACTGATTGGAAAACTTTTTAAAAGATATATTTTAATCAATCACTTCCAATACTATTTATACTACAATGATATTCAAAATTCACATTTTGTTTCTACCAGTTCAGAACTAGAATAAACTGTTGCGACACAAGTAAAACAGACTGTGGTAAGACTGAAAGTTTTGGATGTTTATCAAACAACATAACAGGTGGTAAGTAATGTCGGAGAATTGTTACAACCTAACAATTCGAGATGTTCAGCCCTAAATAAAATGCATGAGTGAAACACAAGGAATTATCATGATCACTGAAGATTGTAAAGATATATTTGGACAAGGGAAAGAATGAAATATTCTCCTTATCGTTACTTAACCTTTACTCTACCGCACTATAAAAAAAATAATTATTACTCTTTGATATACAAACCACTTTGCATAAAGAACTACAGTTATTATAAAATAATGTCCATACTTTAATACTGAATACAACAAAGCAAAAAGGATGAGACTCCAATATACAGTATCAACGTTGTTACTAAACACAGCGACTTTTTCCCATCGATCTTTTGGTAATACCGTGTTCCATGATTATAACGTAAGCCCACATTTCTCGACATTTACTTATTATCTTAAATGGTTCACTTGAAATGTCATGTATATCAGGTGTGTGTGTGTGTGTGTGTTTTATTGTCAAGACTTAACGCTGACAATAGAACACAGTGACGAAGTGGCTGCCTTCTTTGCACATGAACGATTTTACAGAAGACCAGGTAACAGGCAATGTGCTTGTTACATCAACGTGATTTATTTCAAGAACCACTAGAAGCCAATTCACATCACGTGCAGCCTGTGCGGATCATCGATTTCACAAGTGAGTTCAACCCCAATCGATAACTTCCAAAGTCAATATCCACACCGTTGGGCAATACTTTGTAACTACAGTTAAATGTTCCTCAAACTTTGGTCATGTGAAAACAAAAATATATATATAATGAACAAATTAGTCGCAAACTGACGACGACTCATGAACTAAACGAATTTTATTACTCTTCTCACTGTCTAACGCTTTCTTACTTTTACTTTGATAAATGAATGATGGCTTTTGAAACAGAATAAAATGATTTTGCTATTCTTCTAAAACTAGGCATCGTCGACTTTTTTACCAATTTAACCGAGAAATTTGAAATGTGTTTTAGCAACTATACCTATGGAAAAAAATAATAGAAATGCAATCGTAATAAAACATTTATTTAAGTCTCAATAGAAATGCTTATATAATAATGTTCTGTTTGTTATTGAGCGCAAAGCTACACGATGCACTATCGGTGCTGTGTCCACCCCGGCTAGAGAAATCCGATTTTTTTACAACAGTGTATTGTCTGTTTAATTAAATTACACGTGAATACTTCGTTTCAAAGGAAGTGCGTTCACTAATCAATATCTCTTCAAGTAACCCCATCCCGTGAAAAATTCAATGCAGTTTTTCCTTAATTTTAAGAATTAATATCTTTCGAACGTCAGAATAAAACAACGATTTTGTTTTTGTGTTCCGATATCATTAAATATGATATAAGTTAAGAACAGTAATCTGGTCTGTATATCAACTTACCTAACTAGATAATTCGATACTAAAATTGTTTTTTTCTTTTTTAGAACTCTCACACTATGTACACACTTCACTGTTTACAATAGGATTCATAACTGATGATACAGAGTTAGTGCATACAAAATACACTTAAGGTCACCTTGACACTCAACTTTAACATCAGTCCCACCTTCTAATCAGGTTGCTGCGAATTTAGTCACCATGTAACTGATTATAGTTTGTATTAATTCTTTAACTCCAAATTAAAAAATACTTATGACAGTAGTGCTAATTAAGGAGAGCAGTATGGGACTCAGTATAATATATTTTGGGGAAATACATATATAATGTATAGTTTGTACTGTTTAAATGGTTATTAAATAACATAAGATACAATCAGAACAAATGCTCCCAAAACAGACCAATTTTCACGTTTTAACTTTTAAAACTCCAAAGAGCATCAGCCACAGCCAGCCCTTGGAATAACAATAAACTTGCCCCCCCCCCCCCGATTTGAATCAGAAATGGTGTTACTGACTTAAATTATACTAGTTAATGAAGCTGTAATAAAGTTGCAGTCAATAACAAACACAATATTTGTTTATGGAACAATAAAATAAACTGCTCATGATGAGTGGCTTTTCTCAGTTCTTCTTACAACATGGACACTAAATGAAAGGAACAAGAATTTTGTACAATATAAAGATTTGACAATATCTAAGCATATCGTATAAATTTCAAAATTCTATACAACTTCATTTTGTTAAACTTCAAACTTATTTAACTAAAGCATCAGAACTGTTGGACACACACATAACTACTACTGATATTGTGATCTTGTATAAATAATTAATGCTTCATAAAGCATTTACACCAAAAATAATGCTTACAAAAAATATTTGAACATACCCAAATCATCAGAAGCAAGTATACTTATACGCTAAACAAAACAAAAAATAAACATCAACATAATATATTGCAGTAAGATTTACAAATAGCACCACATCAGACTGTTTTGACCTACTAAAATTTATAAATTTGTGAAATTCTAAAAAAACTCATGTTTCAATTTATGGACCGTTCAATGCAACTGTTTAAAAATCTAAATAAGCATTTTGAACATATTTTACAGATATGTGACATGTGAGCTCAAAAATTCCTTTTAAACTAAACATCTGACTGGACTGCATCGTGTGTTTTTTACGTAAGATAAGAGAAAATTTATCATAAATAATGAAATGGAATTTTATGTCATACACATTACAACAATTCTACAAACTTTCTCACACTGAAAAATAAAACTGGTTCTACAGTAATTATTTGGTCTATATTCGAAGAAAAAACAATAACAGTTAAACACTTCTTTTACTTTCTGTTTTCAGTCCTTCACCAGAAATATTTGCATCATTTGGTGAGTGTATGTTCAGTGGTGGTGTTCTTGTTCAAAATAATAACTAATTAAATTTTAGAGTTTCCATTATCTATAATATATCCATAAAATTAAGTTACATCCTTCCAAGTGCTAAGAGTTGATGACATGCACAACAACTAATTAGTAGACTGTCATGTCTACTCAGAGTTCAAAACATGATTGAGTTGAAAGAAGAGTAAGACATGTAACTTTCCATAATCTAGTAAGAAACCCTATGTTATTAGTTGTAATGTAATACCACTTAATACATACAAATAGCACTTCACATAAACTATTTCTGGTTATAGTTTCAGATTAGATTATGAGTTATTGTACTGAATGGACAGTGAGTGCTCTGTAATAGACAAAAGATAGATCTGATATGCAACTAACACACACATATTTCATTTAAAAATCTTTAAAGTATCATAGATCATCTACAAATATTGTGAAAAACAAAGACAAAAAGGGGCAGTAAAGTGAGGTAAAGAGGTTTACAATTCTAAGTCCTGCCAGTGAGTAAATCATAAAGTCTTGTTGTGTATTGACTATACACCTTTGGGAGATGAATTATTTTCAAACTTTCAAACATTTTTTTCTTCATACTACAAAGAACACCAGAATCAAGTACAAAAGAACAAAAATTATCAAACATTCTTTTTTCTTATGTTTTTACTACTCAACCAGTATTTTATTTTACCAGTACCAACTACAAACTAAGAATCAAAACTGCATTAAAAATTACTGATATTAAATTAACTATGCAATTCCCAATACATTCCAGCCAGGGGTGAAATTCCCACAAATAAAAAATAGAGGTACTCAGCTGGGTGAAGTGGACCTGTTTTTTTTTAAATTTACATATAAACATAAAAAACAACAAAGTATCTCCTACAAGTCCTGGTACTAGTACTACCTGAAAAAATAAGTTCCAGTACTCGGTACCGGTAGAATATCACCCCTGATTCCAGCTGATTTTATTAAATTAGCAATCACAATTGATACATCTGAGTACTTTATGTTTTTATCCTTACAAAGTGTAAGCATATTTAATAAAAAAAAGCTTTTAAATACTACTTTTATATGGATATTAATTTAACTGAAGAACAATTAAAACAAATATACAAACAAATAAAGCAACCTACATATTAAAAAACAAATAGGAAAAGTTTACATCAAGAGATACATGCAGAATAATTTCACAAACTTAAAAGATACCAGCTGAATAACTGAATTAAAAAAAGTTGGCCCTAAGACAAACAAGTATAATTTTTTTTATCTCAAGATTGTTTTAGTAGAATTTGTGAATTTTCTAAACATATTTTTGGTCCTTTGAATAGCTACAATTTTCCAATCAACTGCTATTTTAAATTTGCTAAAAATACAAGAAATAGTTGAGATTAAAAAATGAATCATTCAAATTAAATTATTTAACAATTATATTTCTACGTTAACTTTTAAAGTCCAGCAATCATGGAAAGCAGGATGATAACACAGTTTCTAGAATTACGACTATACTAATTGGTCACTAAAGCTTTCACTGAATATTCACATTGTCTCCACAATAGTAGTAATTAGGTATATACACACACATACAAGCTTTATCAAAAAATGTTTGTAATTAAAATAAGAAAAAATAGTCATACGCTACAAATCCTCTTTCTGAAATAAAAGTCTAATATAATGAAACAATAAAGAAAAACAATACATAAACATAATCAGAGGTAGTTACAAAAACCTCTGAAACTGAAATGAGATGATTTTGAAACTGAAACTTATGACCAGCAGAAACAAAACTCAACATAAATAATATTGATATGTACCTCTAACATGAGACTACAGCAAACTCCAGTAGCTGCAAAAAAGCTATGACAATAGCTCCTGCACCCGACATTGGCCAAACCTTTATGTTAATTCAAATTAGATAATTTATTGATTCTAACTGATCAACTATGAGTCAAGTAAACAAAGTCTTAGCATTGGTTTTCTATGAAATTTTTAAGATGATAAAAGGATTAAACAAGCAAGTAGAAAACAACAGCTGGATATGTCTTAGTATTGACATAAAAATCTTACGTTACACCTTTTTTTATTGTTTTGCATACAGAAAACATTTAAGTTGTGTATCTAGATATTTCATCACTCACATCCAAATGTTTTTAGATTAATACAAAAAACTAGACATTCTCTTATCAATACAAATTATGTTGAATTATATCATGCAAACTGGTGTATTCCTAGTTCTAATGTCCATGATAAAATATAGTTCATACAATTAACATAGTTTCTTTTCTTTAAAACAAAATTAATCTGTACAATTCAATCTGACTCTTCTTGTTTTTAAGTAAAAATGAAAGAGTTTATGGAGTTTCAACTACCCATTCATTGAGATTTTTTGAACTATTAATTATTTACAAATATTCATGTTGACAAGAACACTAATCATCTTCATTTGGACAGAATCCCCTATTCAGAAGGTAGCATACTTGTGTTACACATCATAACATTTCCTTCCAAACTGTGTCCATCCACAGTGACAAAAGTTACTACATGATACCTTTCAAAACAAATTGCTCTGGTAATTACCCTTCACTTATACAAAACATATACAGTTTGATGCAAAAAAAGTAGTGTCTGCAGCTCTTCAAATACCACATAACTAATATAAAAAATGTTGACACAATCAACACTTGTATGAAAAGCAGAAGTGTTGCTAATCAATAAAAGCGTAACTGTTAACAGAAGGATTCCATATATGCTGTGGTATACAATTTTTGTATTGTTGAAAGTTTCTTACAAGTAAACATTAGCCAAAAAATTAAGCAGAATATCACTGTCTCTTTTGTGAGAAAACCATAACTATTCAATTTTATTAATGTATTAAGCCTAATTATCATTTACAAAACATATGATGCACTGACAACTCACAAGCCATACATTTATTTTAGTCTCTTGCCACTACTACACCAGAAACAAGGTGTCTTGATATCAAAGGTTAAATTAAATTACCATAAAATATGCAACAATACAAAAGCAGGTGCTAGAAAATCACATCTGGAAAATTTCCCAATAATTTAAGAAGCTATGAAAGGTTAATAGTATACACTGACAGTATATTTTAATACAACTATTATTTCCACCTGTAGAATAACAAAATATCAATCTATACTTATTTTCATCAAAGGTCGTCACTTCATTGATGCATTAACACAGGAAGTATACAAAGGGAGAGAGAGTAAATACCTCAGTGTTTACTTATCCCACAAATAGAAATGTATGTGATTACTGGCTGTAATATTGAGTGTCTTTACTTTTGTACCAAATGAGCAGCTTGGATTACCACCAGTTTTAAAATTTTGTGTAGCAGACTGTACATTGGTAAATTTGAAAACTTGAAAATACTTTCCGATTTCATTAAAAATCATATCCATTATTCCTATTTCTTTTAATTATGCATTAAGTTTTTTTCGGATAGCTGTCCAAATGTCAACAATTAGAAATTCAAGAGTTCAAATACTTGGAATAAGATTAAAAACCAATATCTTGGTATAAAACTCAGGTTTTAGGATAAGAAATAACAGTAATTATAAAAAACATTGCATTAACTTTCTGTACATAAGAATCATTGTATATTTATATATGTATACAGATTATAATGATGACCAAAGAGTTACACTAATTACATTATACAAGAATATCTTAATCTATGTCACTTGCAAAAGGTGAATTTGACAATAGGAAGCATTTTCAACATTGCACTCATGCTGACACTCATCACTCATCCCACAAACACAAATGCTTGTGCTGAACATAGTAGTAGAAAACTCGGGATTTACGGCAAGTCTTGATGCCACAGCGGTAGTTGACTGTTCTCCCACTTGAGTCTTTACCACGGCAGTACTTGAGGCTGCAGGGATACCACCCCACACAGACTTCCAGCTGACACTGGCAAGGCTGTGACCAACTGCTGGTAGAACGACAACGACTGAGCTGAGGGGGTGGAAATCTTTTTACTGCAGCAGTTAAAGAAACAATATCTCTAGCATAATCTGGAAAGCAAATACATAGTTATGAAAGACTGAATTGGAAAATTTATTCTTAAATTAACACTTAGTTGTAACAATGTTAAAATCAACATAGAAGCATTGAGATACCTTTTGCAAGTAACATAAGTACTTTACAATTTTTCAAGTTCCACTATCCAAACATTTCAATATTATCATCTAATTGTTTACATTTATTTTATAATTCTGATTATATTTTTTTCGTACTTCAACACCCACACAGCTGACCTTGTTCAGTAAGTGCTGAACTCATACCAATTATTGAAATATTTTTCTGTGCTAAATTAGAAGTGATAGTACAGACAATCCACAATTTCTGATGCACTATATAGATGTACAGACACTCTTCAACTTTGATGAACTATATAAATGTGCAAACAATCCTTAGGTTTTGATGTATCATAAAGATTTACAGATACTCCTCCTATTTAACACGGCATTTCTATAACATTGCTGAACAGCTGTGCATTAGTAAAAACAATTAATATATATTCACCATTAACGTCTAACAGTGCCACAATGTTGTTACAATATATAATGCATGATGTTGTGGATTTTACAAATGCACAACTATTCATCAACATTGTAGAAACATCATGTGTTAGCTGGGCTTAAGGCTAAAGCTGGCTTGTAAAGAATAACACAGGATACAGCTGATGTAGTAGGCTTGAGCATCATACTTTAGCTTTCATCTGATAAATTTTCTGGACGATAGTGCACGTCTGCACTGATGGAATTCTACACAAGGAAGGAACATACTACTTTCAGCACGATAATGTATCATGCCACACTGCATACTAAGCATACAGAACAACAACTACAAACAAACTAAACCACTTTGGCCTGTTTTAAAATGTTTTCTGAAGGACAGACTTTGAAATCTCATTATACTTGGAACTGCTCTGTAAGAGAAGTGGTAGCCTGTTCCACCAGATGTGTACCAAATGGTTAGCAGCAACTTTTAGTAATAGTACAGAACAAAAGTAAATTCTCTCTCTCTATTAAAACAGGGGTCTCAGTGGCTAAATATGATACACTCATTTTCAAGTTATGCTGTTCCAGTACTTTTGGTAAGATACTATTACACAATCTTGTGTTTACTAGAAGAAGTTTCTGATTGCAGAAAATAGTTTCATTAAAAAAAAAAAGAGATGATATTGAACAAAAGTCCACAACAGCAAGTACATAATCCTTTAAGTTATGAGTTTCCATTCCATATACCACAGGTACTTGACTTTGCAAAATTAATAATAATTTCCCAAAATGCAGGATATTCCCAATAACATATTAGTTTACCTAACAGTACTTTTACATGCAAAAAAGTACTATTTCTTAAAATATTTCTATAAACTCATAAATAATCATGTATATATGTTGCCCCATGATACATGCATTGTATCATATATCCCACGATACTTGGGCCCATCAGTACCAGCCACCTGTGGAAGATGTGCAGTTGTCTCCCAACATGGCTGGTATGCTCAATCCCTGGTCACAATCACTAGCTGCACGTGTCCAGATAAATTTGATCTCATCAAAATGCCGGTCATTGAAGTGTGGTCCCCTGTCAGCATCTGGGCGCTACATTAAATGTATTAGTTTCATGATTCCATGAAATTGATAACTTTACAATTGATAATGTTGATTTCAAAAGTTAAATTAATGACTCTGTGTTATATGAATATTTTGAATTACAGAAGAAAATTTTTAATTAACTAACTAATGTTTTTAACAGGCAGAAAGAATTTGCTTTTTAACAAATTAATAATAATGTCAGCTAAATTTAACTTGTATCATGTTTCCAGTAGCTTAGTAATAAGCTTCAAGGCTTATAAGACTAAAATTTGGGAAACAATCCTTGTAGTGGACACTAGAACTGTAACAATACACTATTACACGATGCAATATTAGATGATCTAAGCATGGCAACAATCTGCCGAGCAATTGATTTATTACACTTGATGTTAAAATTGCAAGAACATTTAGTAGTACCAGTTGCATTAGTTTCTAACAAAAAAAAACATATCAAGTAGTATTTTAATGCAGAGTGCAAATGCCAACAGGGGCCACACTTTAATGACTAGTTTTTTGGATAGGGTCAAGTATATCTGGACATATGCAGCAAGCAATTGTGGCCAGGGATTGAGCATATCAGCCATGTTGGTAGACAAGTACACATTCTCCAGAGGTTATTGGTGCTGATGGGCCCAAGTATCATGGGATCTGTGGTACAGTGGTTATGATACAATGCACATATCATACGGCAAAATATCTTGACATGTTAGAGCGTTAGTAAATCGTTACACCATACTAATGGACATTTTGTAAAGCTCTGTACAAAAACAAACAACAAATCTTGTAAGGTTTATGACTTGCCTTAACTAGCTAATCATACTTTAGTATAAATTATGCACCAACAACAAAATTAATCAGTTAAAATTCATTATTATCAACCTTATTATTTTGGTAATCAAATCTTGGATTACTGTTTTTATATTACTCTTTTCACCACTAGTTGGTCTTTTCACTATCTTATAACTGAGCATTTCTTCCCCTTGTTCATACCTAAAGAAATCTAACACTTGATTTCTTTCCTATAACTAATTGAAAATCACTTATAAAGAATTACAGTCACTAAAACACTAAGAGTCAAACTCATCTTAATATTATTATTATAATGTTCTAGCTCCTACCATAAGAATTTCTTTTCACTTTATTTATACAAAAAATATTGCAAAAACATCTTATATCAATTAAGGTTGGGCATAAATCCTTAAAATACATAAAAACAAAACACATTTTCTTTAGTTTTTATGATAACGAATTATTTTTTACAAATGCATCCTTTAAAAATGTAAAAATCAACATATTGAATCTACATAACAAGTCATATACAACTCTGATCATCTTATCAGTAGGTACATCATAATTAAATAAATAGGCTTCAAACTAAAACTTATTCCAGAATTATGTATACACAAAAATGAAAAGTTTACTTTTAGAATCAGTCCAGGCACGAAGGTCTACTTCTCTAGCAAAAGTAGTGGTACTTGCTTCCTCGCACAACTCAGGCAAGTGTGAGGAAATAATGGAAGACTTGTTGAGCTCGACACTAAGGTCCATTTCAAATAATTCTTTTCCCCGATCCTCTTCTGGCTGACGAATGGCACTAGGATTTCTCTGAATCAGGTGTGCAATTATGTTTTACTAATGCTCTAAATATGATAACAAATTGCTACAATTGATATAAACCTTATACTCACCTAATCATAAAAAAAAATTCAATCACTGTTGAAAAAAACAAGCATACAAGTATCTAAGTATATACACAGTTATGAAGGCTTAAAAAAATAGTTGCAGGAAAATATACTGATGTTATCTTAAAGAAATAATTTTGAAAAATATTTAGAAAATAAATAATTTCTTAAACATACATGTAGGTAACATGAGACTGATTTGGTCTACATGAAAAACAACATTTATCTTTTATCAGCATCACAATTCAACCATTTTGAACTTCAATTATTGGTTGTCTTTAATAATCTGACACAAGTAAAATCGAATGTAAACAATATGTATATTACATATACATGTGTAAAATGTTAAGTGTATTGAAAAACTGGGAAAATCTGTAATAATATCATCAATATCTTTAATAGGTATGTTGTTAGAGGATTTCAGCATCTTCAAGGGGTATAGTGCTAGGGGGTTTTAACATATTTATGAGGTATAGTGTTAGAGGATTCTAGCACTACATTTTACTTTAGAAGTAAATCCTAATAACAACTCTGGTTAGAGAAACAAAACAGTTAAATTTCTTAGCCTGCATTCATGTTTAAGTGATATTTATTATGTCTGTGTACATGTATAAATGTTACTAAACTGAATGTTAAAAAACCACCCGAATTCCCATTTAAATACAACTACAAATTATTAGCTAAATTAAACTAATCTGATATTACTTCCCTCAATTTTGCCAAGTGATATAATATAAATAAATGAGCTTCATGACAAGACATATCATATTTTGAAAACTTCAGCAACAGAAGATTATTTTCACTATTACTGCAATTTACCTGTCTCAGCTTTGATACTGCATCAGCCGAAATAAAATCTATCTTATTTGACTTAACGACAAAACAAACGACTTGGTATTGAGTTTCTCCTCGTTCTTCTTCCCCTAATATCAACACTCGAAAGATTTGAGCTTCCTAGCAAGAAAAAAAAAAGAGAGAAATAAATCTATATTTTATAAACTTCAAGTATTACAACAGAATGCTTTTACATGTAAGTCATGTCTTGAACTTTTACTCTACTAAATCACTTGGTTAACATTTTTAATGGATTGTTTTGACATGCAGATTTTACTGTTTTTAGTTTAAGTACTTAGAAATAAAACAACTGAATTTTAAGGCAACATATATATATATATATATATATATATGCAACACATTAATAATGTGACTACCTCTGCCAATGTTCCACTGCCACTTGAGAAAAGGTAACAATGTTGATAACTACATTATGTACATAAAAACCATACCACCACAATGATATATTCCCTTCAAATGTTAATTTATATAAGCATTCTTCAGAGATATATACTGATCAAATATGCACATTTAAAATGACAAAAGACAGACTTGACTTCTTTCAATTTTCCTTATATTATTAGTTTCATATTTTACAGGAGAATTACAAAAGCAATTTATTTATGCAATATGAAATATTCAAAGACACTTACTTCAAATGTATCTGTAGTATGTTTTTTTAGAGAAATTAGTAAAAACACAGAAGGGTTTATGCACGTTTCTCTATTCATTAAAATATTTTTAGATAGTTGTTTAAAATTTAAAAATAAATATAAATAATATGTAGGATTTCTAACACATTAAAAGTAAATCTACCACTCACACAGACAATATATCTAAATTATTTTTGTAAAATACGTACTAATACGTACTAAAATCGGGACATATCTTGTCTAATCCAAGCCTAAATAAGGTTGAGTAAAATTATATATGGGTTCTCTTCACATTCTTTGCTCTAAGGCATCTTCAGAGATACGTATATTTAGAGAACTGTTGATGTCAGATAGATGTCTAAAGTAGATGTGCTTTAACTACTTAAGCTAGGTGTTGTGTGCTTTGCTGAGTGTTTCCTGTAATACATACCACCAAAAAGGCACACTTGAGAGCATAATAGTAGAACAAGAAAACCAACAGAAAGTACAATATTTCCACATGATATGATAGAAAGTATCCAGCTTTCTTGTAATATGATTGATGGAGGTTCATATTACCTACATTAATAAGTGTTTTCATTTAGGAAATGTGTTGATAAAAATTTGACTTCAAATATTTCAATCCAAAGGACTATAAGTCCTTCTAAAAATATCCTTATTCACAAGAAAAAAAAGGGATTACATAGATATATTATGAATTTTCAAACTTGTAAAGGAAAAAGAACAACTTCTTGCAATATAGTACAACATGACATCACATCTAACTAAAGTATAACAGAAGAATAAGGGAGAAAAGGTCACATGGCACAGAAAAATACACACTGCTTATACAGCACAAACTTTAAAAAGACTGTCCACCATGTAGTTATACATAGTAAATTTGGTGTTTGGTAATTCATTTTTGCAAGTGCATAATTTCATTATTCATCAATGCTTTGTGAAATCTTTATCTTACAACTGTAGAATATACACACTCATTTATAATTCACTATAAAAAGAATGCTTATAGAAAAGAGATGACTAAAATTTTGGAAAAGTAGGCAAAATATGCTGATAGATTAGAAATGAGATAATTTACATGACTTGAAATAGTTATTCATATACTGAATGTCAAAGAATGATGACAAAATCAATTCAAAATATTATAATTCTCATCATCTGTATTTTTATAATACCATTTCCCTCAAAAACAAAAAACGGTTTTCTTTAAGCACTCCTAATAACAAACCTAAAATAAGTACAAGTAAATTTTATTTTATAAACTGCCCAGTTAATACAGTTTGATCCTCAACTGACAGGAATTGTATAAGATATGTGAATATTGCAAGTAATACAGTGTTGTAATGTATTTATCTAAGCTTCAGAGCTCAGTGGCACATTACAATAAACCAATTTTGAAACACTGTTTCTAATAGCAAGAACTAAGTTAGACAAAAATCAGTACTCTTGGTACATTTAGCATAATATTATTCAGTATCAACAAGAGCACACTGCTGATAAGCTAAGTGGAAATGATCATTCTAGGTTTCAGTTATATATATGACATATTGGCTTATAATCTGTAATGGCTTAAGAGGAATGTTATAAAACACATTTACAGATGAATACAGATGTTTCATGACATATTACAGACAAATGTAATTCCTAATTATGTTTGCAATTAAATGATGAATGCAAACAAACCTAAAAGTAAAACAGTCTATATGACCCTACAATTTTACACTTCAATACTAGGAAGAAACTTTTTCCTGAAATGTCTGAACTATTCAATTATTCTCGTATGCAACTTGGATAGCTGGAGCAATTGAAAATAGTGATAATCAGAAACATTAACTTCAAATATTTGCTCATTTTCATGAATCATCACTTTAATCAATTAACCTGAACAACCTTGAACTAATCAAAAATAATGGGAAATCATAATGAAACATTTCAATTAATTGAATAGTCAAAATAATATTAATAATATTGATTATTTTCATGAAATTAATCGATTTAATCATAACCGAGATTAATTGACTATTCTATCTGACATTAATCAATATAATTGATGCTTATCTATAACAAGTCAATTATTTACATTGACTAAACTCTCCAACTAAGGTAGATGATGCCTTATTTTCTCCCAGTAAGCAATGAAACTGATCAATTTCCTTTTTTTTTTTACAAAATGGGTAGCTTGCTGTATTTTTAAATTAATTCAAAAATATGGGTTGGATTTTACATGTTTATTCATAAAGATTTTGCTCTGGAAAAGATTATTCTGGAACAGATGTAGCCTTCAAAGTATTTTAGTTAACTTACTTCATGTCAGTTTAGCAAAACTTTTCTCCTTCAATCACTCAGACTTTTTTGCATCAATACTGATGTCTGATGGTTGAAGAACAGGTAATTTTTGTGCTAATGAAATATGACTGACAGATCAGTCATGCATATCAATAATGATTAAAACCAGTAAGGAATTTATTTAGAAACAATTAATATTAATACAGGTCTATGTATATGTGTAGTTAACAAAAATGCATTCCATTAATTCAACATGGTGAAATTAAAGCTGGGATTCTCAAGGCAGAGAACTAGAGTAACTTATTAAAATAAGGTTATTCCAGTCAAAAGCACCCTTAGTTATCATGCCTGAGCCTTGGTACACATCAAATCATCAAGTGTTATCATAAACTTAATATTAATTTAGTTTGGTAAATTAAATTACATGGTTCATATTTTAAATGTTATTGAACCTATATCTAATTGTTATAATATACATGTATTGTGTATATACACATACAAATATTATCATGATTACTTGCAAGTTTTCAAGCCTTACTTTTTGTTACTTCGTGCTACTTGCTATATTACCAAACAATAAAGTGTTGAAAGTTATCTTTGATGTCAAATGGAAGTTACACAATCAGAGTAAAAAAAGGGGATTTTCTTTATGCATTGAGAAGATTATATAGAGGTTTCCTTACAGAAGTTTTCTGTTTCTTATATCATCAGTTTTATGCATAGGTATGCTTGTGGATCTCTAAAGCAAACACCTTCTATTGACTTCTTTTTTTTCTCGCATTTAGTTTCATTAATTTGGAATAAGCTTCTAATTTATTTTTAAACTTGTGTGGATGATTTTGCAATGACATTTAGTACGTGGTTTTAGGATTATTTTTAATCTATTAAGCTGGCCAAACTCCATCAAATTTTGGTTGAAAATAATGTTCACAGTAAGGGTATACAATTATGCACATTATAGCTTTTGTTTCCTTGTGTATTGTTTTATAACAGTAAGTGCTTTGGATAGTTTATTATACAAAACAGCCTTCATGAAGTTATAACTTAAATTTTAGTTTTGATCTATTCTATTTACTCTTGACCACAAATTATCAATAATTCCACAAACTTATAATTCTAGCAGAGAAATAATTTTGACTATGAAAAAATTTTCAATCTGAGTTATCAAAACTTTACATTTTCACTGTGGCAGCAACATTTATTTCCTGAGAAGCTCTTGTGTATGTAATATTGTTAGAATGTTGTGGTTTTACTACATAGTTTCAAAACCATTAAAACAGATTAATTAAGATTTCACAGTAGAATCCTTTGTTCCATAATGCCATATTTATTTACCTTTTAGTAGCATTCAAAAATCACTTGCATAACATTCTTAAGCCAACTGCTATCACTTATATACTATATTCATCTTCATACATGTACATGTAGCACACACCTTACAGCCACCTAGTATTCAAAGGTTATGTGTAAGCAACAAGTCTGTAAGTACATCCTAAGATTCTATTAGTTTTACAAAAGAGCATTACTTCAATCCTTTTCTTCTGTCATGCTACTGTGTTAGTTCCAAACTATATCAAACGTGTGATCCAAATTATGACAACCCAAATGCAATAAAGGCCATACCAAATATTCATCCAACTGACAAAATGATTGAAGTCATTCTTTAATACCTCAACATCCTCAATGTGGTTAAAAATACCCAAGAATTTAATGTCATCAGCAAACTTTCTTCATTTACTAATTATTATGCTTATCAATATCATTAATGTAATTAAGAAAGAGTAAGGGTCCAAACACTGACCCCCGAGGTACTCCAGTCTGGCTGAATTCCATTAATAACAACCTTCTGCTTTCTCCCATTTAACAACCATACAAATCCAATTAACCCATCTTCCCCTGAACACTACAAGTGTGATTTTCTTAGCTAATATTCTATGTGGTATCATATTAAAATGAGGACCTGGGATGGAAAGGTTGTCATATAAGAAAAAGTTTAGAACCTGGAAATTTTCTTTTGAAAAAAGATAAAGGGAATCTTAATGAGGTGTTTAAGATTATTAAGGAAATGACAGTGTTGATGCACCATCTTTTTTACATACCTAACATTGAGTATGGTAAGACAAGGGGATACCAATACAAATTTTGCAGAGTAAAATCCATCAGATTTAGATAACACTGTTACTATTCTAACAGGGTAGTTGGCCTTTGAAATGGGTATTGAAATTAAAATTGCAGCAAATAATACAAAATAAGAAAAAGCAATAAATATACAATTTTAAACACACAAAAAATATGTTCTCCAAGTCTTAATATATTTGGGGAAAACTATATGTAATGTACAGCAAGTAAAATAAATCCCAATGTGTTTGCACTGTGTGAATATCATCATCTTCAACTATTCATTATTATAATCTAAGGTACATTTTATGCATTGCATAAATCATGAGATTACTTAATTGGTGTAACAATTAAGTGATGTACCTTTTCTTAGTGAATATCAATTATAATGCTAAAAAAAATATTTTTCAAACTAAGACATTTATGCATTGCATAATTTACCATAAGTATTTTAATAAATCTTAGGCATTAAGGAATTATTTATTTTCCCTGGTAAAGTGTGATTATTGTAAATTGCATTAAATTTATATCTCTCATATACAAAGTACATATTAAATAAATATGTTTAATTTGATTTTACATCCTAATCAGTATCAATGAGATGGGAACTCATCCAAAACAGTTAATATTAAGAGAAAATACATGTTCATTTTACATGAGATTTGTTAAAATCTTCCAGTACAGAAGTTATTTACTCAAAAAATTATTACAAGTTTCACATGTATTTCACTGAAAAACCTCATGTGGAAATACTTTATTATTACACCCACATAATTTGAGAGTACAAGTACAATATACATTTTCAGAGTTAACAAAACGTAAAACAATAAATTTCAAGTATTCTGTGTAACTATAGATAGATGTTACTAGATCAACATTTCTTGTGTTTGTCAAAAAATTAAAACAGAAGTGATATGCATAATATTTCTATTACAGAAAATGCAATACACATTTGAATAGTAGAACGTGAAAAACTTTAAGCCAAACAAAAATGGGGTTATCCAAAATAATTTCTCACATTAATACATAGTAAAGGAAAATTTAAGAATCACTGTAAAACTAAAAGTGATTAAAGAAAGTTTTATTCTCACTCAATGTATAGAAAGCATTTGGAAATATCTGTCTGTAAATACAATATCTGCACAAACTGCTATATCCTTTGAAAAAAGTTTAGATAAATTGCAGTAAAATCAGGAAATTAAATAGATCTTTGAAGAAGGCTATACTTTTATATCCAGAAGTAACGAAAATTATATTAATGCTAAAGAAGTTTTTATTGAAGAATCATATTATAGTCCGTATTTCAGAACAAACTTAGGTAAGTTTTCTAAACTTAACTTTCAGTTACTGATCGTCCTTATCCTATATCTATACTGTTATTGTGGTAATACTAATAGATATCATTCAATCATGTACTGATGTAACACGTTACGGTGAACTTACCGCTTTAAAATCAATTAACTGTGTTACCAGAGTGCCTTCTGGACGTTGAAACTCGAGGATTATAATATCATCACTAGCATTTGCAACAATAGACTCTTGTAAGATGTCCCCACCTTCGTTTTTAACATTGATTATCAGCTGACACCATCCTCCATAAAAAATGCCACCAAGGCCTAACGTTATGACCCCCCAAAAACGTAACAATCTTCGGCAGAACCTTTCAGTCATTTTACAAGTACTAAAACTACTTCTAGAGAATCTACAAAAAACAAAGAGAAAGGTGGCATTTTCTTGTTTTAAACAAATGAAGCTAACATTTTGGTTAAAACACCGAAAATCGTGATCACGTTAAATTTCTACTTGTAGTGATATTTCTCACATCCATAACACTAAACACGAAGCTCTATTTCTAGTGATGACCAACACTAGTAAATAATAGATGTCGCTAAAATCAGGTAGAAAAAGATATACTCTACTACTGAAAATGATTTTTAGCAAGAAAAGAGTAATTATTGTGGGTCAAATGAAAACAAACAGAAACTGAAGTGGTTTTCTTAATTTTAGTTATAATAATTTCACTTACTTGCACTCTATTAAGAGTTAATTTTATTTCTAATACTTTAATGCATTACTCACTGTGTCACTGATTAGTGGTGCCACCTATTCATCACACCTTTAATTAATCATGTAGCATGCGTGCTATGCTCCTAAAAATACAGGCTTAGAATGAAAAGGTGCAATCTAAATGTTCACCTGAGTTGTTTTATCAGGTGTATTATAAGTTATATCATATGTGGAAAACAGAGCTTTTCACAATTTTTGTGCAGGCCAAACCATTGTTGTAAATGTTCTATTGGCTTTTTTACCATCAGGATACCGTTTCACCACATTTGTTATATGTTTGGGATCATTATCATGCCGGAAGATGAATCCATGCTCGTCGTGTTTTTGAGGAAATGGCATGATGGATTACAATGTACATGTACTTTCCAGATTTTTTTTTGTGCGTATCTCCGGCCTCTTAGTTGGGATGTAGCCTCGGATTCGTACTGACACACCGCCATACTTTACTGTAGATGTTATACATTAACTATGATAATGTTTTCCTCTCCGTCGTCGAACAACCTACTGTTAACTGTTGCCAAATAGTTCGAATCTAGATTCATCTTTAGAGTGCACACGTCTCCAACTTTGCTCGTTTCACTGTTTGTTGTTCGGCTTGGTTACCTTTTGACAGTAGCAGTTTTTGAGCAGCTACACATCTACTGAGACTACTTCATGCAAGTGTACAGGAGCAGTGGTAAGGAGGGAAAGCTTACTGCTGCTGAAGCTACCCCAAAATGTGCCTTAGCGTCCCCTGTAGCCCACTACACCGAACAAAAAGTGCTTAATCTCAAAGCTGGTTTACTTCCTAAGTACTACTGTATGTGTGCTCATAAGATGTATATTGCAGCTCCTTCAATTTTTGTATAGCCCACGTCAGCTCCATCACCGGGAAGAGGCCGCCCCCGTTAATGTGTATCTTACTGATTTTGAGGTAACATTCATACCTGTATTCGCAACAATGTTATTGGCAAGATCCGTGCATATCTATCTCGCGAAAAACATACTTTGAAATACCAGTGTATTGACCACCATTGAGTTTACATCCCGTTAGTTTTAAGCTATTATTATATGTTAGCTATATACTAGTTCCATATATATCATGGCATTACCTCATTATTAAAAGATTATTTTCATTGCCATATTAACGACTGTTGTAGCTTTCCTTTCTAAGTATTGTTGTTATTCTTCTCAGAGAGACATACTTTTTTTTCTGTTGTTTTTTCTTCTTCTTCCAAACACTTTTCAATCGGCCATCATTCCTTCATTTCTCGGCTAATTGATTTGCAACTTAGTAGAATTATACCTTTGTCCAATACTCCCAGACATCTTTTTCATTTTTTTGATTTAGGTCTTTTTAAGGATTTTAAGAGATGAAATTTACCCAGAAAGTATATTTTAGGGTCCCGTGCAGTCATATTTACAGCAATCAAGATGAAATTTAGCACGAAAAGAAATTTTCATGCGCCCAACACATTGACATATACAAAAAGTATTCTTTGAGTCTTTTTAGAGAGGTCAGAGCTCACAAAAAAAGCATAATTTGTGGGGTTTTGGTCAATTACTCCGCCATAATTTGACCAATTTACGTGAGACTTGGTATAAATATAATCTTTGCAGGTCCCAAACAGACATATAGACAATTTTGAAATTTTTGTCTTTTGCTTAATTTTCCAGCGAGGAAAGCAAGTTTAGGGTTTTCGTGAACTATTCATGTCGTTGTTAAGCAATTTACATGGGATTTGGTACAAAGATACTTTCTTGTAGGTCCCAAGTAGTGATATAGACGGTTTTAGATTTTTCTAGTGTCAAAATTGGCCATGTTGGTTTTGCGTGGTGGAGATATGTTGCATTCGCTCGCGAACGTTGGCCTCTTTTAATCTTTATTGAACTTTTTACTTTCTAGAAGCTTATCATGTTTCTTTTTCGGCTTTTACAGAATATTTAACGTTATTTATTACTTCGTTTAGCCAGCTTTATGTGTCTGTTACAGGGAAATTTTTAATTAGTTAAAATTGTCGAATTCTTGTTCTTTTTATTATACTTTACCCAAATCCAACCTGACTGCCGTAATCATGCATAAAATATCTAAATATTATAAAACTGTATAGACTGATAAATGAAGATATCAGATATGATACACAAGAATAATCTTATAAACGCTGTAAAATCTTACATGATAACACACTCAGTATTTTTCCAAAATTGAAACTTTCCCTACGTTGTCTCCATGTCGGACATTTGAAGACCTCCAATATTTCTCATTACTGTGAATATAACACTCATAGAAAACTTTTCACACGAATTCGGGGCAGACAGATAGCACATCCTATGGTATTTTATTCATATTTAAAGTTATAGTGTACACTGGATTGTTCACACCGTTTGCTTTGAATGTTTAAAAATCATTTTTACCTTCTTTATTAGAACCGATTGGAACATAGATTTTAGCTGCATTTTTGAAATTTACCTATGTTTTATAAAAAATCCGAAACAATAAACCGAAAAATAATAGTGGCAAAATAATTTTAAAGAAAACGTCTAACTATTACTTCGCTATTATCTATAAAAACCGTTCTGTTGGAATTAAAAAAAAAACAACAGCAAGTCCTGGACGTGTTATAAATAAGATTTATAAAAAAATAACTAAACACGTAGAATACGATGCATATGCTGTATCGATTTTTGGGAGGTCTGATTCGTGATCTTAACAATATAAAAAGGATTCCATGAAAATATAAATAAATTAGATTTCTGCAATATGTAGATGATACACAGTTCATACTCGGTATCTTGGTAAAATTTCTTGAAAATGCATTAGAACTCTTAGACTTCTTTGCTGATATTTCCGAGTTAAAATTTAATTTTCATAAGATGAAGATTATTTGGGTGGGATCAAAAGCTTACTCTTCTTAACTATTAAATGTTTAATTTAATTTAAAATAGAACAGTAATTTTTCTTTAGAAGGTATAGATTTTGAGACGAATTTAGAAAATGTGAATGAAAAATATACAGGTAAATTTCGTAATACATTACAAAATTGGAGAATAAGAAAATTACCAATTAAAGGGAAAAGAAATATTATAAAATGTTAATCCTGCCTTTGTTTTTCAAGTGTATGAACTGCACTACGAAACCCAGGTGAGAAACTAATCAAAAATACGAAAACAATGTCTTATAAGTTCATTTGGAACCATGGTTCTAACCGAGCATCTAGAAGAATACTGTGTACAAGTTACTCAAGGTGATTTTAAAATGTTTGTTTATTTGTTGTTAAGCGCAAAGCTACACAATAGGCTCTGCCCATCGTATCAAAACCCATTTTTTAGCGTTATAAGCCTTCAGACTTGTCGCTGGGCCAGTGGGGGCAAGTTTTATGGAAGCCTTGAAAAGCTCGTAGATAAGGTTATATACACAAGAAATCAAAAAGAATGATTTTCTTCCACAAAAAAATCCTAACATAGATTTCTTATACCCAGGATTATTCTGCGTTAACAGTATTAGAGACTGATTTAAGAATGCGCTTTGGATTGATGTGTTAAAAGCAGGTTTGCATCCAATCATGGTATCATTATTCCTAGGAAATTTAAACAAAATATCTTTCGTCGTTTTAAGCTCTGTATTACTGCAAAAGCCTCCTAGTGGCACAGTGGTATGTCTGCGGACTTATACTGCTAAAAACCGAATTTCGAAACCCGTGGTGTAGCTTTGTGCTTAATAACAAACAAACAATTGCTGCAAAAATATTTCTAACTTCTTAACACATCAATCCAAAGCGCATTCTTAAATCAGTCTCTAATACTGATAATGCAACCTGGATAAAGGCTGGAATTATGAAAGTGAAAAAAAAAACAATTTAAATAAGAACCTTTATTTTAGACTTTAAAACTCATCTCTTAGTCATTTCACTTTTTCTTAATTTTATGTCATTACATTGCATCTTAACTTTGTCATTAAGTTGTTTCTAAATGTTATGTCATTACATTGTTTCGTAACTTGGAATTATGTTCTTCCTTAATTTTACGCCATTACATTTTTTTCTTAACTTCGTGTTATTGCATTGTTTTTTAACTTTATATCGTTACATTGTTTCTTCACTTTATGTTATTATATTGTTTTTTCGGTTTGACATTAAATGGATTCTTGACTTTATTTCATTACTTTGCTTATTAAGTTTGTCATTAAGTTAATTGTTAATTATATGTCACGACATTGTTTCTCAACTTTATGTCGTTACATTGTTTTTAAACTTTGCCATTAAGTTATTTCTTTAGTTTATGTCATTACATCGTATCTTAACTTTGCCATTACGTTGTTCTTTAACATTATTTCATCACTTTGTTTCTTAAGTTTGCCATTAAGTTATTTCTTAATTTTATGACATCACGTCGTTTCTTAACTTATGTTAATTTGTTTGTTTCAATTTATGCACAAAACTACACAATGGGCTATCTGTGCTCTGCCCACCACGGGTATAGAAACCCTGTTTCTAGCGTGGTAGGTCCGCAAACATACCGCTGTGCTACTGGGGAGCCTTTATGTTAATACGTTGTTTCTTAACTTTGTCATTAAGTTATTTCTTAATTTTATATCATTACATTGTTTCTTGACTTTATGTTATTGCATTGTTTCTTAATTTTATATCTTTTTTTTTATTTATGTCATTAAATTTTTTATTACTTTTTATGTCATTATTTTTTTCTAACCTTTCATCATTAGATTGTTTTAAACTTTATGTCATTGTGTTGATTTTTAATCGAACATGAT